TATAATTTTAAAGATTTCTATTTTTTAAAAAAGAAGCAAAAGTTCTAAATAGAAAATAAATAAATAATAATTTTCCTTCCCAAAATTCTAAAATCCAGATCCAGTAAAGTATTCCAAAGAAAAAAAGAAAAGAAATGTAAATGATTTTTAAAGAAAAATAAATGAAAAATAAAAAAAAACACTCTCCCAACTTATCTTTTATAGCCCAAGTCGAAATCCAGGTCCAGAAAAGCGTTTCCTAAAGAAAATAAGCAAAAGAACTGGTAATGACGTTCCAAAAACAAAAAAGAAAACAAAAATCCACCACAACTTACCTTTATGGCCCAAGCTAAAATTCAGGTCCAGATAGCATCCCCTAAAGAAAAAAAGCAAAAGGAACGTTAATAGCGTTCCAAAGACAAAGAAAAACAAAAATTTCACAAGAAAAGTAGCAAAAGGAACGTTAATGGCGTTCTAAAGATAAAGAAACAAAAACAATCCCCCACACTACTTTACCTTCATAATCCAAGCCAAAATTCAGATCCAGGAAGGCATTCCCTAAGAAAAGAAGCAAAAGGAACGTTAATGGTATTCCAAAGACAAAGAAAAATAAAAAAACCACAAGAAAAGCAGCAAAAAGAACGTTAATAGTGTTCCAAAGATAAAGAAACAAAAACAATCCCCACATCACCTTACCTTCATAGCCCAAGCCAAAATCCAAGTTCAGGAAGGCGCCCCCTAAAGAAAGAAGCAAAAGGAACGTTAATGGCATTCCAAAGATAAAGAAGAAACAAAAATAATACCCTCACACTACTTACCTTTATAGTCCAAGCCGAATCCAGGTCTCTTAAAGAAAAGAAGCAAAAGGAACATTAATGACGTTCCCAATGACAAAGAAAAAACAAAAGTACAAACTTACCTTCATAGCCCAGCCAAAATTCAGGTCCAGGAAGGCGTTCCCTAAAGAAAAGAAGCAAAAGGAACGTTAATGGCATTTCAAAGACAAAGAAAAACAAAGAAAAACTTACACCTAACTTACTTTCATGATCCAAGCTGAAATCCAAGTCCAAGAAGGCGTTCTCTAAAAAAAAGAAAGAAAGGAATATTAGTAACATTTCAAAAAAAAAACCGAATTTACCCTCTATTCTGACATACCTTTTAATCCTAAATTCTGAAGTCCAAGTCCATGTCCATGTCCATGTCTGATCCTAAAGAAAATAAGGTGGTTTTTTTTTAAAAAAAAATAAAATAAAATAAAATGACCGGATTATCTGATCAATCCGGTCATTCCACATAATGACTGATCAATCCAATGTTATCTGAGGATCACATCTGAATTATTCGTGATCCATTCATTCATAATCTGAATGATCTGTTTTTTGATCAGATCGAATGACAGATTGAACAGATTTCACTGAAACATACCTCTAGTTTCAATAAAGGCTTCCATAATTATATAAAATTCTAAATTAGGAAATAGATTAGGTATTATTATTTAAAGACTTGAAAAGTGTATATAATTACGTTTAAAAAAGTTCAATCAATATAGAAAATATCATATATGGTGTCAAAAGTCTTAACTCAATAATGTTTCAAAATTTTTTGTGGATTTTATATCATGTGATTAGTAATTGACCAATGAAAAATGAATATTAATCATTTTTTTTATGTATCATTTTAAATTATAATAATTCAAGCTAACATTATGATTAATTACCATAATGCTAACTCAAATTATCATAAATTTCAATTAATAATATATGTTTCAAATTCAGAAAGATCATATAAAATTATCCAATTTTAAATGCCTATAACTTTTTATATAGAACTTATTTTGAAAAACTGATTAGTAATTTAATAGAGCTTATCTCAAAAAATAAAGTTACCAGTTTATTTTTTCTAAATTTTATTTTTTTAAAGAGTTGAAAGATTTTTAAGTATTACATTTATATTGTTAAGTATAGACTTCTTACACCATATTTTTTAGACTAAAATACTGTATAATAATAACAAAGGAAAGAAAGGGCTACATAACTAGGGCATTTAATTGATAAAAAAAATCATAATCAATGATTTGATCAATCTCTTATTTACTTAATCGATTAAAAATTAATTTATTTGATTGATCACGTATGATTAATTTTTTAATCGATTGTATTGTTCAATCAAAGAATAAAACTAAAATCAAATTTTAATTTCTTAATCATTGATTGATTTATTAATATAATATAAGCATCAAAAAATCATAATAAGCTAATTACAAATATTATAATAACTACTAAAATCTCTTTAATTTGTTAACATACAATTATACAAAAGGATTATAGTATTTACTATTTCGTTTGACAAATAATAATTCAATAACAGTCTTTGATTTTAAACTGGTCTGATCTTTTGTAATTTGATTTCTAGTATCACTAAAAAGCCGCTCACTTGGAATAGATATAACTGGTACATCCAAATATTTTCTAACTATTTTAAATAAAGTTAAAAATTTTTTTTTATTATCAATCTACCATTAAAATGGATTCATTTCAGGTATAGCTTATGGAGTTCTAAAATTATTCAAATAGTAATTGATTTCATCATCTTTTTCATCTATTTTATATAATTTAAATAAACGTGATTTAAACCCACCTGTTGGATAATTATTTTTTGAATTTATTTGAGACATAATAGTTTCTTCATTTTTTAATAAATGATATTTTTTTTTAATAAAGATATTGTCATTTTACACATTTCTTTAGGCCATCCATACATTTTTTTAAATCTTGAATCTAAAAGGCTAGCCAGTACAGCAATTTTAGGTGGTAAATTAAAATATTCAAATAGCATATCATATATTGCTTTTTTGATAGAATCAATAATATTATTAATTTCTGATAAAGACATTATGTATTATTTGAAAAATTTTGTTCCTTATTGTTATTATCATCACTTTCTTTATCATCAAGCACACTTTCATTATTTTCAGAATTCTCATATATAGTAATATTATCATCATCTAAAAAAAAGAATATAAATATTAATAAATGTAATTTAATTATTTTTATTTATTTAAATATTATACTTATCACTTTCGTTAATAATATTATCTTTATCTATATCTGGTATATAATCATAATATAATGCATAAATAGATAGGTATATTAGAGAAAGTATATAATATTTTTAATCATCTAACCATTCTGTTACTTCTTCAATTAGTTTAAAAAGAACAATTAATTTTTTTAATAAAATTCATTCATAATCTAAAAGAATTCACATTCTTAATTTTTCATAATCTTTTTAAATTCATTCTCTAAATATAAATTTAAAAATACTTGTAATCTTTTTCAAGAAGCTAAAGATGATCCCCATCAGGTCTTAACATTATTAATAGTTCACAAAATTTTTAATGAATGTTGATCAATTGATGTTAAATCAAATAAAAGTAAATCATTTTCTAGTTGTATATCATGTCTAGATGCAATTTCTTTTTGAGCCTTTTCTAACTGTTCATTCTGTTTTAGAAAATTAAAAAATCGAATTAATTTCTTAAATCGTTTAGTATATAGTTTAATTTTTTCTAACCCTTTAATAACACAAAGCTGCAATGTATATGCACTGCATAGAATATGATTAATACCATCCCATTTATGAATAGCTTTAATTATATTACTACCATTATCAGTAATTGCTACATTTACTTTACTATCTAATCCAAGCAGTTGAAGTTTAATAAAAATTAATGGTTGGTCATTTTAAGTCTATTCTTTTATCATTCGTTTAGCAATTTCTAAATATAAGTTATGCATAAGATCAATAATAATAAATTATTAAATATTCATATAAAGAAGCTGAATTAAAGATATTTATTGAATTCTATGTTCATAAAATATTTGATTACGAAGTTAAAAATTTGTTTTTTTAAATTTATAAGCAATATATAGATATTTTTTTTTTGAATATTGTGGAAGATTAACACTAGTATTAAGTTACTAATGTTTGATTTCTAATAATCTGTATTATTATCTTGAATTATAGGAGAGATATAATCATATTTATAACATTCTCTTTTTAAAGAATAACTAGAAAATCCACTAAGCTTATAATATTTATATATAATATTAATATTTGAATATATTTAGATAAATAGTAATATTAGATTATAAATTTATTATCTTTTGTACTGTAAAAGTATCACAAGATATCATAATTCTATAAAAAAAATTATTCAAAAAATATCATCAATAATGTTTTGAATCTCTTTAAACATATTAAAGAATGTTTATAAAATAACTATTTTTTGCCTTAAAAAATGATCAAGCTTACTATATGGGTTTATTCAAACTTTGAAAAACATCTAGAATTTGTACAGAAAGAAATTTAATCTTTTTTTCTAATACAGAATATGTTTAGTATTTATATTAAAATTATATGTCTATTTTTCTAATATAAAAAATGTTCAGATTATGTATTAAAATTTATGTCTAAAATATGTATAGAATTATATAAATATTTTTTTAATACAAAAAATGTCTAGACTGTATATTAAAAACAAGTGAAATTGGAATGCTAGATTACTTTCTGTTATTGAGTACATTTTAGTAGACTAAAATAAATAAATTTTTAAATCTGTTTTAGAAAATACAATTCTAACAATGTACTATTAATAAATTAATATTTTTAAAACTATAAAAATTATAATATTACTGTATTAATAATTTAATTTAATAGATTTAATATTTTTAGGAGTTTTTTTATTTATTTTAAATGGTATTTTATTTAATAAAATATATTAATTCGTAATCTGTATATAAAGTAGAGATTATCATATATAAATTCATATGACAATTCAGAGATAATATATATATATAATTTTAAGACTTTTAGAATCTCGCATTTTTAATATATATAACATCTTTTTTAAAGATAAAATATATGAGCAAATATAAAGAATACATTATAATACTTATTTCTGCTAGGTAAATTGTAGAAAATTTACATTTTAAATCATTTTATTATAATTGGTAGCTTATATGACCTGTAAATAAAACTCTTACACCTACTCTTTTCCTTCTAATCTGATTAGAAATAAAAACTCTTACAGTATTAAATAGCTATAACTTCTGTTATAGAAGATACTGAAAATCCAAATTCTCCTAGATTTTTATGCTATTCTGAAGAAAATCGGTCAGGTGTGTGCAGTTCACCAACAGAAGTTATTAATTCTTACTATAAAAAGTTTTTTGATTAAATGCAAAGTTTCTTAGACTACCAATTATGGGATTTGATAATTTAAATATTATGTAGCAATTGCTTAGTTATGTTATATTTCGTTTATATATGTTTAGTTTTGAGAAATTGAATATATTTATGTTGGGAATGAGAAAATTAAAGAAATCTGAATAGAACTATATAGTGAAACAGTGATCTGTGACTGCACTATAAATAAGTCATGTGATCTAAATGATTGACATAGTTGACAAAGTTGACAAAGTTGCTAAAGTTATCAACGTTGATCAAGTGAACATATTAGATAAATGAATTATATTTATTATATTTATTAATTATATCTTATTTATTATATATATTATATTTATCATATTTATCATAGTTCTATTATTAATTCTCTTTATTATATTTGTTATAGTTAATTTTATATTACTTTATTTTATATAAATATCCTATATTTTCCCTTGAGTTAAAAAGTAACTCAAGTTGAGGTTTTAGAATAAACTAAGAGTTCAATAAAGAAATAATTAAATTTATTTACTATTATCTTTTATTATGTCTTCATATAGGTGTAATTGTGATATTGTCTTGTATTTAATTCAACGGATTGAATTAAAAGTTTATCATTTAAGTTTACAGATACTAAGCCAACAACAGGAGAAGAATATAAATAAGTTCATTTTTCAATACAATTTTAATGGTATAAAATCAACTTTCATTCAAGAGATAAAAGATAGAGAATGTATAGTTCAAATATTTACTAACAATACTTTGAAAAAGACTTATAGCGCTATTGATCCTGATCAAGCTTAGTTATATATTGATAGGCTTTTAAATTACTCTGAAAAAATTCTTTTTGGATTAGAAAATTAATATATACAAATGTGTATTCAATAAGTACAAATTCCTTCTTATACAGTATTAGATTAGAATCTTGAAGGAATATTAGAAAAATTTTATAAATATCATTAAAAAAGAAGAACTTCGTATAAGATTAAGTAGCATGACTTATTTGATAAATGGTTGAATCAGAAGAGTGATATATTAGAATTACAAAATTCTATTTTAGATCTATATCCATCTAATTATAAAATTAGTGATCGAGAATGGTGTACTTGAAAAGCATTTATTCAAAATGTAGGATATATTAAGATCACATCTTTCAAAAAAGAGTCTAAGGTTGAAAAAATTCATTATTATTTTATTGTTTTATTAGCAAATTATATTAGTTTGAATTTTAGATGAAAGCATGTAATATACAAAAAGATAACGAAATATTATAAATACTTTATGAATCTGAATTTCTTCAACAAAATCTAAGTTATCTAGAAAATTAATATTATATATTTTTGCAAACATTTCATGATGTATTGGAAAATACATGCAAAAATTCAGATGGTCAAAGATGAATTTTTTCAATTATTGCTACAAAATTTATCTATCAAGAACTCAAATCAAAACTAGGATTAGTATTTATATAAAAATAAAATATACTATCAAAATTATTAAATTAAATAAAAATATAAACTTACAGATAGCTACAAATATAGTATCAAGAGCCTGCTAATATGTACATATCAATGAATTAGATGTATCTCAAATACAAAAACTAATCATTACTAAAGAAAAATTAAGACAGGAAAAAAAAAAAATTTAAACCAGTTTTTTCTGATAAGACTAATGTAATAATGAGCTTATGCAAAATGGATGCTGCTATACAAGAATCAGTTCATTATCTCAAAAATACAAAACAAGTACTGTGAAAAAAGTTTTATAAAAAGTATCTAAATGGAGCTAAACAAACAACTTTCTATAAGCATCTACAAGGCAATAGATATATTTATTGTAAGAATCTTGTTGGTTTGTATTCAATATGCAATATATATGATTATAAAACATTTGATAAACTTACCAAACTCATTCAGAGTCATATTAGTAACCTTCAGATCCAGATAATATTTCTTTGCAATTTTTTAAAATATGATTATATTTAGTTTATATGATATTAATTTTGATAATTTTCTTTTAGAATCAACTAATAGATCAAGAAGAAAGTTGAAAAGATATCTTAAAAAGGAATATAAGTCACATTTGATCATAAATTCTGATAGTATAATAGCATATAATACATGTATAAACTATTGCCTTCTTATTGTATTTGATATATGTAATGAATAACATACTTACATATGTTTAGAATGTGATAAACTTTTTCAATTTTTTATTGATATTAAAAAAAAATACTTCAAATTATATTCATAGGAAAATTTGTAAATTACAAGATTTAAATTTTCTATTATTTGAGCCATCAAATACATAAGGTATTCCTAAATGCCTAATTTAATACAAATTTATTAGATTTAGACGAAAAAGGAGTTATAATAATAGTTGACTATAAGATGAAAATTTTACCTAAAAGCGTAAAAGAAATAAAAAGTACTTTTTTTAAAAAAAAGCTAGACATTACATTCAATCCTTATATATACATAAAAATCTAGAAGTCTTCAATTAGATATTCAGGCATATGATCACTGGTCAGCTGATACATACCAAGATGCATAGTTTACTACATCTTCATTGCATACAGTTATTAAATCACTTAAAGTCAAATCAGATTGGCTTACTTTTCTTTTTGATAATAGATTATACTATTATAACGTAGACTTAATGTTAATTCTAGGACATTAAAATGAATGGTATAATATTACAGTAAAAAAATGGGTTTTTTTAGAAGCAGGAGAAGCCAAGACTTCTATCGATTCTCATTATTCCTAAGTGTGTATTTATTTTTCAAATGATTTAGGAAATTGCTATTATTCATTGAATTATTGATTACAGATTTCATATGCTATAATCATCATATCTGATTGGAATTTAATATTAGTAAAGATATGAATATAGAAAATGCAATTTAAGGGATTTGTGATACTTCAGTAACACATTTAGAATCAAAAAGAAAAAAAGGTATATATGAGAGTACATCTTAAAATTATGTAATATTACTAAAAATGATTGTTACAACATAAAATTAGAGTAAAAAAAGACAAATTCAATACCTAAAAATTTTAACTGGTATAAGTGGTCCTGACTAACTAAAGATGAATATGCAGGATTTATTCAAGCTCGTACGATACCAAATATTAGAATTTAAAAAATTTTTGAGCTGGTTAAAATTGCACAATTTGAAAAGCGATCTCTTAAAAAACCAAATCTATAAGTTTTGAATAACTCAATTTTAACTTTCAATTAGAATATATCATTGCATTATAAATCAAGTATGTAATAATAGAATTATATAAAATTGATCTTTTACAGAATTTTTTACGAAATTTTTGAATTAGAAATCAGTATAAACTGTCTTACCATTGAAGAATTAAAAAAAAGATTAAATAATTATAATATTGATACAGATACAATTAATAACAATAGAATTATATTAGTAGAAATTATACAAAGTTAATTGAACAATGAAACATCAAAACAAAATACAAGTAAATCACTTTTTAATAAAATCATGATCATATTATCTCAAAGCTTACTATTTTCCTTTTTTCAAATAGTAGATGTATTAAATATTAAATGTATTAATTCTGATTTATTAAGGCAAGTTTCAGCTTATACATTAAATTTTATGTTATCAAGTAGATGGACTTTAAAAGAAAGATAAAAATTTGGTAAAAAAGAAGGAGGTAAACAAATAAACAAAAATGTTATTTCATACCTTGAGGCATATTTCTTAGCTGAAGATATAAACAAAAGCGAAAAATATACAGCTCAAGAAATGTATAATGAACTAAAAGAATTAGTAAAAGAAGGGATTTTAGAGAAGGAAGAAATTTCAAAAGTTTTATAATTAATAATTAGATTTCTCAATATGTATAAATTCATCGTAAAGTAAAAGCTTAACAAGTATTAACGCTAGTCAATAGAGATTAAAAACTGTAAATAAGATAAATAAATAAAAACTTTGTATATTTTGATAATAAATAATATTTATTTTAAGTGGTTTATCATAAAATAAGAAATTAAACTATTGAAATTGTGAATTTACTTTTATATTTATATGCAGAAATCTGATGATGCTACAATTAAAAGTTAATAGTTTTATTTATTATTTAGCACAAAAATACAGAAATATATGCATATAATGTTCTATTATCAGTAAATTAAATATAACATTTAAGTCATACAAAATGGTGGTTTTAGCTTAGTTTAAAGAAGATGAATTATAACTAATTTTCTATATCTATATATGATTAGCACTCCAAATTGAAATAATGATTTTCTTTACTTTATATATGGATTATGAATTAAAAATAAAAGTATAAATTCTATTTTATTTATTTTTTTTATTTATATATAATAATAAAAAATAATATAAAAAATTTAGCTATTTAAATACCCGCTTCTTTTTCTACTACTTTTGCAGTTTTTTCAGTTAAAGTAATCACATTAGTATATTTAACACTACCTTCATTTATCTGTATTATATACAGCTTATATTAACTAACACCATATTGAATTTGATGTTATTTTAATAGTAATACCATATTCAGTATAAATAAAATATCCTTCTTTAACTACACTAATTTTATAAATAAAGCTTATAGCAAAAATAGATTGTTCTTTATCTTGATATTTACAGCTTTATAATTTTAGCGCAAAATACTGCATTTACTATCTGATCATCATTTTTATTTACTTTTTATTTAAAAGCTTTATATAATAGTATAGATCATAATTTATGATCTTTAGCATTTTTATATAACTATTTTCCAAAACTATCTTCATCCTGATCATATATTCTTTGCATCTCAAGATTAAGGTTTTTTTTCTTTATATACATATGAATCAGTAATAAATGGATTTAAAAAATTTACACAAAGATCATGACTAATAAATTTTCCTAAATCTGTATGAGTCTTTTGTCTACAGTTTATTTTAAGATGAGTATCTGCTATAAGTTTATTTTATATTTAAAATGATTTGCTACATTTTTTTAGCAATATTACGAATTATACCATCAACAATTTTATTATCACATTTTAAAATAACTGATTACTTTTCATTAATAATCACTAAATTCTTTTCATTCTCTATATCTGTGCAAATCACAAATTTGTGAAGATATTTTCAGCTAAATTTGGCTTATGATTTACATTAAAATTATAGAGAGT